ATTCTGCAGATAAACCCAAGTTGGCTTATGTATTATTCTGCTTGATTAGATTTGCTGTTTCTTGAGGATTTTTGTGTTTATGTTCCTAAGGATTACTGGGCCGAAGTTTTCTCTTCTTGTAATGCATTTGGTTTCCTGTTATCAAACATAGTGGGAATTTTCCCTACGTTTTTAAAAGACGAAAAAATAATTGCATGCTAGGCATTGTGTTCCATGCATACTTTAATCTTCACAGCAACTCTACCAAGTGCTGGCTATTATTTTTGTCACAGTCACTTTACAGGTGGAGGAACTGAGGCACGGACTGAGGTAACTTGTCCAAAGTCCCACAGCAGGAGTCAGGTCTCAAACCCCTGAGATCCAGCTCCCCAGACTTCGGTCTCAGCAGAAATGTTTACTCCATTTTCTCTAAGTAGGGATGTTTAAAGGCTAACGAAATCCCACATGCAGAGCTCAGTCCCGCCGAGGCTACCAGCTTCCATCGCTGCTGGTTAATGGCCAGGGCAGCCGCCAGGTGCCAGGCGGGCTCACTACCTGCTCCTCCTCTCCTCTGGCCCCTCTTGCTCGGATCTTGTCAGCCTGGCCTGGCCCCCTTGGGAATGCTCCCTTCTCCCCATGGCAGGTAGTTTCAAGCCACTGTTCCCTTCCTCATCCTGTCTTCCTTCACATCCATGACACCTTTCAGAAAGTAAAAGTAAAATTTAAAAAAAATCTTTGCAATCTCAGTTTAATTTGCATGCTCCTGCCTTATTGGGAGGGTTCCCCCATCATCCTCTCTGCTGACCTTGTCCAGGCATTCAGGCGCATCCTTCCCCCTTCCCTGTCTCCTTTTGCACTGCCTGGTCCCCAGTGTTAGCTCTGCTGAATCTTTTTGGTGCTGGGATTGAACCCAGGGCTGTTCTACCACAGAGCTGTATCATATCCCCTGTCCTTTTTATTTATTTTTTAACAATCTGAGACAAGTTCTCACAAAATTGCCCAAGCTGAGCTTGAACTTGTGATCCTTCTGCCTCAGCCTCCCTCCGTGGTGGTATTACACCCACGCAGCACCAGTCCCTGCATCGGCTGCCTTATCTTACGGGATTTGAGAAGTGGGAAACACCTTGCTTACTTAAATAAGGAGGAGGAAGCTGGGTACGGTGGTACTCATCTGTAATCATAGCACTTTGGGAGGCTGAGACAGGAGAATTCCAAGTCTGAGTCCAGCCTGGGCAACTTAGTGACTTAGTGAGACCCTGTCGCAAAATAAAAAATCAAAAGGACCAGGATGTAGCTCAGTGCAAAGACCCTGTGTTCAATCCCCACTTATTCAAAACAAAAAAGCCAAAAGGAGGGCAAGGGAGAACGAGATGGGGTTTTAGGAGTGGCCTGGGGCCCAGTGTTCTCCACTGCCCCACAGCATGAGCCTAGCAGGGAGCAACACGGTGAGAGGCGATGCAAAAAGCAAGTGTGCTCCGATGCTGCTTTGACAGGGTGACTGTAGACCACATGCTTCGCTTCCCGGGATCTCAGTTTGCTCATCTATAAAATGGGCTAGAGATCTGTGTAGGCCACAGGGTTGGGATAGAGAAACAGTGCCATAGCATAAGGAGAAAAAATCTGGTGTGGAGAAGGCAGTGAGGAAAAAGTGCTTTCCTTGGACCAGGCACTATTTTGGAGCTTTCTTTTTTTTTTTTTTCCCTTTTTTGGAATGGGGTCTTCCCAGGTTATCCAGGGTGGCTTTGAACTTCTGAGCTCAAGCGATCCTCTTCTCTCAGCCTCCCGAGTAGCTGGGACTGTGGACGGCAGATGAGTGCCACTGTGTTTGGATTTTTACACAGATTATCTTATTTAATAGATTCTACCTATGTGGGTCATTATGAACTATTGTTGCCCCCATTTGACTGATGGGGCAAACTGTGGTCCTCAGAGGTAGAGAATTTATAAGTGGCAACTTTACTCATATTTAAAAATATTGATTAATTGATTGATTGATTGATTGATGTGGTGCTGAGGATCAAACCCATGGTGGTACTCTACCAGTCCCCTTTATTTTATTTTATTCTTTAATTTCAAGACAGGGTCCTGTTCAGTTGTCCAGGTGGGACTTGAACTTGTGATCCTCCAGCCTCAGCCTCCTTTACCCATAATTCACATTAGAATTCATGGGATCTCATGCCAGGTCAATTGAGTTAGACTCCGTGGTGCAATCCCTTGAACCAGGGGAGTGGCCCACAAGGCTTTCCTAAGCTCTTCCTCCCAGCCACAACACCTGCTGTTTCCTCCTAATTACTGGCTCCCCCTTGGCAAACACTCAGCCACTCCCCACCATTCCTCAGTTTTCAACCAAATCTCTAACCAGTACTCCAACAATCTGGAAAACTTGGGGTGAGTCCACTGCCAGAAACAGTGATCCAATTCAAAGCCCAGTTTGCAGCGCAGTTATGGAGGCCTTTGGTCCGTTACTTCTCACCCAGCAGGGCTGAGCCACTGTCAGCGGTGGGGTATGAGGTCTGCTAACCGTTTCTGGCTGGGAGCCATGTGGGGACTACTGGTGAACTTGCAAGAGGAGTAGCACACCACTCGGCCCTCTGCTGGCTCCTGATGGTGCTAATCAGCCCCCTCCTCCTGACCGCTCAATCAGCGTTGTGACAGGCACAGCTGCGGCCGCACAGTGCAAACCAATGCATGTGGCAGGCATCAAACCTCGAGTGTAACCTGCACCATCATCTCCGTCAGCATCATTGCCTCTCACCTGCATTCCGGGGTGTGGGGAGGGGAGAGCCTCCCATTAGCCCATTCTACAGATGTGAAAACTGAGGCACACAGCTGCAAAAGACTCTCCCCATCTAACCCTGGCACAGCCTGGATTAGCATTCACTCAGCACTCTTACTTGCTAGGACATACTCGCCTCCTCTTATGGGTTTAAGAGAATCACCTAAGAGTCTCATTTTTGACCCGACCTTGTAGGGTGTTAACAAAACTGCTTTCAGCCTGTTACTTCTGGATGAGCCTGGCCTCCCCAGTTAAGCTTCTCGGAGATGCTCAGGCCTTCTGCATTCATCTGCTGCCTCTGGAGCCACAGGCCTCCACTCTCGAGCTCTCTGGACGCAGGAGCTGCCCCCAGGAGGCACATCCTGAACACCTGCACACAGCAGGTGCTCAAAACTCTTAGGTGGCTGTATGAACATTACAGACATCCTCCAGCTTCTAAGCCCAAGCCTTCTTTAAGTCCTCAAACCCAGGGCTAGGGCCAGGCTTAGCACAGAGCCTGGCACACTGTAGGTGCCAATGCGGTGGGTCAGGAGGGTTCCAGCTGGCACAGGAGTTAGGCTGTGAAGGTTCAAGGCACTTTGACTTTCTTCCACCTTGAAGTGTTTGCCAACCTGAGCCTTCCCTCCTTCTGCCTACCCTCAGGCCTGGGCTTCGGAATCTGGGAGCCTGGCTTGTCCCTCATCCTTAAGTTCTGTCTCTTAAGGCATTTGCAGAGGAAAAGCCTGGGGCAGTGACTGAGCAGCCACCTCTGGTAGGGGAAGAGATGGACGGGGGCGGAAAGGGGCTCAGATACACCCTGATGAGCATGAGTGGGCTGAGGGAGAGAAGTTCTGCTGCTCCTGGTTCTCAGCAAGCATCCTCAGTAACCAGCCCTTTCAGAAACTCACTTCCCCAAAGAGAGCTCTGGGGAGGGCCAGAGGGGAGGCTCGAGCTGGGCTGAAATCAATCCCAGCTCCAGGTAATTACAGGAGATGTGCTGCCACCCTTGCAGGGTGCATCAGAGGTGGGGCACCGGAGCCCTGAGCTAAGAATAAAAAAGCCTGGTCCCGCACGGGAGTGGGGGAAGGTTCCCAGGTCAGGACACTGGTGCTTGCTGGTGCCTGCCAAAGCTGGGGAGGGGGCCAGCGACTGAAGCAATCGCCTGAGCTGCCAAACTGGGTGCTTTGGAAAGGAAAACTCAGCAAGACTCTGGGAAACCCAGCCCTGCAGCTCCCAGGATTCCAAGATGCTCAGGTTCACAGACAAGAGATGATGGGGCGGACAACGCTAAGACACTAGCCTGGATGCTGGTTTTCCCCTTTCTGGTCCTTTCTGTTGCTCTCTCCACCCTCTGCTTGCAAGCGATCTTCAGCAATCTTTCTGCTGTAGAAATCATGTGGAAGAAGGGGGCCATTCCAAGCCAGTCTCAGAAATTCTTCTCTCCCCCTCTCCCTGTCCCTTACTTTTGCACACAGCCCTGGCAAGTTTCCCTGTGCCCCCTTCTCAGTGGCTCGGCTCTCTTGAGGAATTCTGCACAAGTGTCAGCCACACTTTGGAAAGGACATTAAGATGGGGAGATGGGGACCAGCCAGGCATCCACAGCAGCTGTGAGCTGCTGCCCAGGGATGGTGTGTGTGTGTGTGTGTGTGCGTGTGTGTGTATTCTGGAGGCAAAGCTAGGGGCAAGGCATATCCTCGAGGAGGTTGTGACCCCCTGAGGTGATGGCTTTGGCAGCAGAGACCGCTAACTGTTCAGGGTGGTCGTAAGGGCGCGTGCCAGTGCTGCCAGAGCAGGAGTATCCAGCACCAGTGTGTCCAGCTGTATCTTGGGTCAGGTCGGGATGCCAGAAGGGCAGAGTGGCCGAAGTATCCCCAGCTGTGTGGGGTCAGGGGCTTTCTGCCCAGCTTTTGTGCAGAACCCCCGGTCAGGTCACTCACACAGCCTCGGTGCACCCCTCACGCACTCAGCCCATCCAGCCGTGCACACGAATGCATGCTGGAATCCACAGACCGCTCACACCAACTGACACGCCATGCCCATAGCCTGCTGCACACGCACACGCACACACACACGCACACACGGTCCCATATCTGCCAGGCGACAGCAACTTCCTTTCCTCCCAGTCCGGAAATCTCCACAGTTGTCCTCAAGGCTTAAACTTTTTCCAAGGGGGCGCTGGGGGACGCACAGGAAGAGGCTGGGGGTTCCGCAGGGTCGCCCCGCACTTGGGGATTCCAGATTCCCTCCCTCTCCCCACATCTCTCACCTGGTAAACCGAGGCACAGCAAGAGGCTGTAGTAGACCACGGGCACGAAGCCCAAGCCGCAGGCCGAGCCGGCGGACCAGAAGAGCGAGCTGTTGGCGGCGGGGAGGTGGGCGTGCGTGTGCTCCATGGGCGCCCGCGCCCCCCGCGCCCTGCCTGGCTCCGGACTCCGGACGTCGGCTCGGCGGTGGCGCCGGGCAGCAGAGGCAGCAGCCGGAGGGAGCAGGGGCGCCTTCCTCCCGGCGAGACTCGCTTCTGTCCTTGGTCCCGGACCCCGCTGCTCGCTCTGCACCTGCCCGCCCGGAGTCGGGCTCGGCCCTCGCGCGGGGCGCACGGTGCCGGGCGCGCGGACTCGGGAGGGGCTCCCGAGCCCGACTGTGCACCTCCCACCCCGGACCGCTCGGCTCCCGCCTCAGAGCCGGGGCTGGGACCGACTTCCCGCAGCCAATCAGCAGCTGCCTGGATGTGGGGTGTGGGGTGTGTGCTAGTGTGTGGGGGGGGGTCGGTGGATGGGTGGGGGAGGGGGTCCCAGCTGCCTTTCTTGGCTCGGGTCAGAGGCGAAGATGGGGTTGTACCCGGGAACCCCCGGGGGAAGACAGGGTGGAGAACAGGGCCGCCTGCGGGAGGAGCGTGGGACCTGCTTCTCCCGCAGCGCCTCCTGCTTACTCCTCCCGCGTGTCCTCGGTTTGCCTCTTCGGACTCCGCTTCCAGCCGCGATCTCGTTCCCCTCGCCAATGCCTCGAGTCCGTTTTCCTGTACGGCACAGTGCGGCCCGGGCTTGGGGGGAAGGGGAGGCTGTGGGAGCCGCCAGGATGCTGAAGGGCCGTGGGCTCTCCGGACCCGGGCGCGCGCTTGCGGGCTGGGGAGGGGAGCGGGGGGGGGGCGTACCGCTCTGGGGCTGCGGTGGCTCTGGGGGCGCCAGCGGTGGACCTGCCCCCAGCCTGGACGGAGGGGACACAGCCCCCTCGGCCGCACTCACTCACGCTCACACGGACACACAATACCCGCTCAACGACCCTCACACTCTCCTGCGGCCCGCTCCTCCCACACGTAGGTAGACACAAGAAAATCACACAAAGGCCACACTCGGGCCGAGCTCCCAACCTACACAGAGAGGCACGTGGGACGAGTGGGGTGACGTGAAAGAGTGCTCGGAGCAAGTGGGGTCCGGGCAGTGCAGTGGAGGGGCCTCCTCTTCCGCTCGAGGTGGGCAGGCGGTGGGTTCCAAGAGCAGCCTTCTCAGGACCACCGCGGGCGACTGTCCCCGACACAGTTAAAGACTGCAGAGATTCCCCGGCAAGCATCTGCAGGGGCAGGCTGAAGCAGGCTGCCAGCGCTGGGGCTTGTGATGACCTCCAAGGAGTCTAACTCCCCCCGCTTCTCCCCAGTAACCTCCACCCCCAGTAACTTCCGTTCCTGGAGAGAAAGATCTGGCCAGGCCTTCCCCAGCCTCCTCCAGGTTTCCCGATGTGATGTGGGTGGAATCCCTGCCTCTCAGGTCCTCCCCCTGTCTTTGGTGGGAGCTCCCTGGGCAGAGACCGGGGTGGTGGAGGCCCCAGTCAGACAGAGCCAGGCAGTGTGCAGGGCGAAGGAGGGAGAGACAGCCGGACTTGGACCTGCCTGGGTCAGGAGCCACCTGGCCCCCTAAAAGGACGGATTATTACAGAGTCACACGGGGACAATGAAGCCTGGTCTGATGTTTCAAGCTCCATTAGATATTCAAATTATGGTGACCCGTCATTTAATTTTTTGTTTTAGTTTTGATTGACACATAATTGTGAATATTTATGGGACATGATATGATGTTATGATTCATGTATACAATGCATAATGATCAAGCCAGGGTAACCAGCATCTCCATCACCTTAAACATGGTATCATTTCTTTGTGGTGAGAACATTCAAAATCCCGTCTTTAGCTATTTTGAATGTGAGTATCCCAAATAAAAACAAAATGAAAACCCCGCTCTGTTGATAAATGTAGCAGTGCTTTATCATCATAGATTCAATAAATAATTGTTCAAAAACCTATAGGTCAGATGTATCTAATCTTATTAGATTGTTTAAGTGGCTAGACAGAGACAAGGAGCTGGGGATGTAGAAAGAATATGTATGATTTGGCAAAGTCCCTGGTTTCTTCAGAGATCTCCCTACATTGTGAACCATGGATAAGACCTCAGGACATTTGCACTAGCTGTTCCCTCTGGCTGGAATGCTCTTCCTTCAGAAAGCTTCATGGCCTCCTTTCTCCCCCTCTTCAGGTCTTTACTCATATGTCCACTTCTCACTGAGGCTTTTCTTGGCAGCCATATTGAAAACAGAAATCTCCATTCCTCTTCACCATGGATTAGTCCACTTCCTTTGTTCTGCCCCTGCTTAATTATTCTCTATTAGCTTAGCATATCATACACATTAAAAAAATACATTGTGCTACTTGTCTCTTTCCATCTTAGAAGGGCAGGGGCGCTCATCTCTTGTGTCCCTGGCTCATTCTCAGCTTCACACAATGCCTGTATGTTGCAGACCCTGGCCCCAATATGGAAAGAATGAAAGCCCCAGTACCACTACCCAAGGGCAGGCACAGACCAGGGAGATGAGTTTGTCTTTGTTTTTGCAGCCCAGGGTGTCAGAGCATGGGATGCTGTTGCGTGCTGAAAGCACAGTCTCAGATTTAGCATGTAATTATCATGTCTGAACAGCCAATCCAAAAACGGGTCGCGTGGTTTGACTAGAGGGCTCTCGTTAGATGCTCTTTATAAAAGTCAGCTGGCCAGAGGAACTGAGCTGCCTGAGGAGTGTTGAGGGACTTGATCGTGCCTGAGCCTTTATCTCCATCTGTGAAACGGGATGACGGAAAGCAGGTGCACCTTTGTGCCTGGAATGCTGAGCAAGAAGAGAGGCACTGGCATGCTGAAGACAGTGCAGACTGCGGTCTTGGACCCTGAAGGCTTGAGTTGAGTCTTCTGCTGGGTTCATCAGCATCCTTGGCCAATGGTCAGGGCCCGAGTTTCCTGGGAAATTGGATCATTTGGATGAGAATATCTTTGAAGTGAACCTTTGGGTGTTCTTGGTCCTGGAGAAGGGGCAGGATGAATTAACAGTGAAAGTCTGTTTAATTTTGCTCCACTTGGCTGGCTCAGTAGGTCAATAGCACGCTTTCACAGTGGGCTGGGTTCATTTGTTTATTTATTCTTCCAGCAGAGTTTCACTGGACACTTCATGTGTGCTGGGCAGGGCTGGTCACATAATTTGTAGAAGCTGATGCAAGAAGAAACTGTGGGGCCCCTTGTTCAATAATTCTTAAGAATTTGAAGATGGCAACAGAAGAGAGTTAAACCAGGTGTGGGCCCTGGGAGCTTACTCAGGTCACAGGCCCAGGCAGTTGGGCTTGCTGAGGGCCCATCGGAGAGTGCTGTCATAATGGACTGAGATTTACTGGCAGCTTCCCGAGGGCTTGTTTTCTTAGCCATTGTATACTCACCCTGATACCAGGAAGAAGGTGCAGTGCTTAGCTCCATTGCATAGGTGAGAAAACGAAGGCACAGAGAATTCACTAATGTTGGAGTGGGTCCAAAGCAGCATGGTCCTGTGCTGAGACCATCAGGGTACTCGGGTTAATAGGAGGTCAAGTACATGCCAGAAAATTGGAGCACACTGTCATGCAGGCCCTAAGTGACAGGAGGCAGAGTCTTCATCTGTTTTCTCCTTCATTGTATTTATTTCCAGGGCACTGCCAGACAGTGGTCCAGAAAGAAATCTTAAGTGAATTCACAAATAAATATAGAAGAGATGTAAACAGATTGTGCAGGGAAGAGTTGTAAACTCAAATATCAAATAGCCTGGGTGGATAATAAACACGAACAAGGCAGGATTATTGTACAGTCTTCACTTCCATAAAGAAATAAGCCATCTCCTATTTTCTTGGGAACCTTTGGCGTTCCTGGTTTGGGTTCCATTTCTCTATTCTTTGACAGAGGGTGTGGACTAAAGGAATCATTCTTTAGGAAAAACAATAACACAAACATAAACTGCAACTAGCACATTACTCAGAGAATTCAGCAGGGAGTGGTGGGGACTAAATAAAATAGAAGTGTGCAGCTAGCCACTGATTTGGTTTCTGAGTATACAGTGTTTTTAAAATGATGTGGTCTCTATTTTCCCAGATTTCAAAAGTCAAGTGCAAGAGACAGGCACGAATCAGCACACACACACGCACGCACGCACGCACGCACGCACGCACGATGACTGAGCTCGCTCTGTGTGGGATGCTTGATAAAATGGGCGCAGGCACCCCATCTCCACTCCACTGCCCTGACTGTCACAGTGCATCCTGCCCTCTGGCTTCTTGCTTTCAAAACACTTCATCCTTGCGATGCACGTCCTTCTCTCCCCGACAACATCTCTTACTCCATTGTGCTAGCACTTGGGATTCTCTGTCACCTCCCTTCCTGGATTCAGGTTGCACCTTGGCCAGGAGAAGTCTCCATCCTTGACCCTTCCTCACAGAGTCTCCCTGCAGTGTGTGTAGCAGAAAGTAGGTTCAGACCTAGGTGGGAATCCCAGCTCTGCCCCCTAGTCCCTGTGTATTCCTCAGGACCTTAGGATAGAAATTGATAGAGAAAAGCTCCCAGCAGCTCAATTTCTAAAAGGCTGACTTTTGCTGACTCTCATAACTGAAAAGCACAGAAGTTTTCCTGACTCGAGGCAGGCACATTATGGAGCTGTCTCTTTCCATCAACAGCCTTTGCTTCCCTCTGATTAGCTGCATTCACAGCAGGCTCTTATGGCATGGTAGACAGATGGGCACTAGTGTCCCTGGGTTTATCCTATCAGCTCAATTACCTGTGCCGAAGCAGGATTTCAACAGAATCCTGGGAAGCCTTCAATGTACCAGCCAGGGTCATGGGCTCATCTCAAACAACCTCACCAGTTTTAGATGTCTGTAACAAAATACTGACTGACTGGCTGTGGCTCATGTGTCCATCAGTCAGAAAAGATCAGTTCTTCCCAAACCACATGGACTGTGAGAGCAGGTGGGTCATTTATCCAGAGGAAAATAGGGATTCTGTACTGGGAAGGACGGGATAGATGCTTGGCAGGCAAAACAGACCCAGGTCTGGTCTACAAGGTGAATTCAGCGCTCGGGATGCCAGTTTGCTGGTGCTCTCTTAGAGCTACATTGTATGTTCCATTAAAATGTAAAGAGACCTTATTTTTTTACAGAAGTTTTGAGTTCCCACATAACCTCTGTCTCTATACATGTGTAGCCTCCCTCATTATCAATGTCTTGCACCAGAGTAATACATTTTTGTATTACTCAAACTTGCATTACTATAACCAAATAACTGGGGCCATTACCTTAT